GACGTATCGAAATACAAATTATCTTTTGAAGGAAAAGAAAACAAGGTTTTAATTCTGAACTATTTGGGAAGGATAGGCTTGCATTTCCTTTGTATCTTCTTAATACAAGGTACACACTTTAAACCTCATTTCAACACCAGTTGAGTCATTTGAGTCGAGGAATTCAGGTTAAAGTTACGTTGTAATTTTCAAGTTATTTCGTCACATGTTTGATTTTTGATTTTTTGTAATTTCAAAACCTGAGTAATTAATGAGATTTTTTTGGAATCGAAAGATTTTCTTCAAAATCAGAAGTCTCTTAAATCCCCTTCACTCTGACCTCCATTAAATCATGGAGTAAAATACAAAGGTTTCGCAATTACAACTAGTGTAATGGTTTTAATGGTGCGGCGAGATTGAAAAGAAATCGACTAAGCTAAATGAAAGCTAAAGTGATTTATACTCGACAGTTAAAGAGTATCTGTTCTCCATTTAATGCTCGTAAATTACTTATATGACAAATGAAAATGGTTAGATGGCATAGCAGCGTCTTTGTTTTTCGTTATGTAATTACAAGAGCTCTGAGCTCTTATCGTTTCTCTAGTTGTAGCCGGGGCGGCGCAGACTAGCCGACTGGGCCCGTATACGCTCCTTTTGATTTACAGGAAAGAAAAGCGATTTATAGCATAAATATTGTAGCTGTCTCTGCATAATGGTCATGAGAAGAAATCTCTTGCGTTTTTCAAGAAGGTAAAAAAGGCCGGAGAACCTGTAACATAAGCCCTTATTGATGTTGAGTTTGTACATCTAGTAAATTCTCAACCGATGTTAAGAGAATCGGACTTCTATCTTTTGATAAACGCGATCTCAGATGGTGTACCCAATCAAATCTCATTATCTATCTATCTGGCCGTTCCGTCTTGTTTTCTTAAGTTGCCTTAGGGGGCCATTTTCTCTGTGAGGTCCAAATGGACATCGTGTTGGGTATTTCTCGGCGTACGTCCTCACATAGCCTTCCTACTATCATTAGTCCAACAAAGAGACGGTAGCTTTTAGAAATGTGCTAATGATATAATGTCCCTGCAAAATGACATTTTCATCTAATGTGTTCTCCAAATGCAATTCATTGTTTTAGCTCGAGATCAATAGACCAAAGTCCCTGGCCTAATAGAGACGAAGAGCATGCTAGCCATTCTTAACGATAACCATCAAAATCCGAAATGAAATTGAATTAGTCCCTGATTTATGCGAGTTTGACTGGCAAGCGCTTAATTATTTATAAAATCCAATCTTTTCCCTTTTCGCCATCTTCATCGACGGCCTCTGTTCCTCCGGCTACGTTGAATGGACCGACGTCGACAACGTCGTAACGTTGATGAGATGTTGAGGTCAGAGTTGATATACTTGAGTGAGAATGAGAACATATTGTTGAGAAAACTAACGGTAATCATTCACCCATGGTGCAGGTATTCTGGATTCATTATTCATTATATTGAACAGCGATCAAAATGATGATGATAATGATGCTGATGATGATAATGATGGTTAATTGCCTCATGGTAGGCATGCATGTACGGTTGACAGAGCGGCAACGACGACGATGAAGCATGATGACACCAATGGTGACCATCATCAAATAATCATCATCATCAGCAACAGGCACGGCAGCATAATCGCCTTGAAATCGACAACAATCTCGAAACACGTGCAATTTTACAGCCGTGGAGTAATCTAAGTGAGAATAATTCTAAACAGTGTTTCAACACACTGCCATTACAGATGTGCTGCCGACATGCGGCACGCTGCCCGTTGTTCGTATCAGATTCATCAACCGATACAAATCTTTCACCATTGAGAGAATAAATGGATGGAGTGGTTGCTGGAGATTTTAACACGGAAATCGCCGAATCTCTACAGCTGTAATAGCGCACTGAGAGGAAGCTCATTCCTTAGGCGAACCATTCCTCGATATTTCTCTCAATTAACGTAACGCTCTCTTTTCCCCTTCGAGTGGTCTCGCCGGACGAAAAAAAAAGCCGAGTTGTCAGAGGCAGTAATATGGTGTCAGACAAAACTAATTTATTCACTCGTAAAATTGAAGGTTCATTCAATTTTTGATGTCTGTTTTTCCTACTGTAAAACACGCATTTTGCCGGCTGAGATTCCGTTTGATAGCAGCGTAGTGTCATTTAGAGCCATTTATATGACATCGTAGGCATCAGGAAATGACAGAATTTTCATAGCTAGATTAATATCTTGCAATCAGTTGTACGCAAATCTGGCAAAATGAGCACTCGTACTTATTGGAAATGGAAACGCTGGCGATAGAGGATAACGCGGTAGCAATGAGATACGGCTGATAATGAAAGCTGTTTTAAGGTTTCCCTTGTACCTGTTGTAAAACTTCCCATAATGATAGAGCCGATATTGATACATAAATCGGTAATATTTTCGGCGGGGTTGCTTTAGATGGTTGATCTATGGTAATTGATGGTTTTTCGATCAAAGGAACAAATGCGCAGATCTCTTTATGCGCACGAGTGTGGTAATTTGTGACGTCATCATCAGCGTTATCGTCCAACATTGAGAGAAATTTATGTATAAAGATAATAGACTTTGAGAGAGATGATTCTGTTTTATCTATCATGAATGTGCATGTTTTCGTCTGTCATCCACGGCAATGTTATTTGGTCTGTGACATCCCGACTGTTTGGGAATAGTGGCTAACAAGACGGACATGAACAGAATAGCTTATTGCCACCAGCAGCTGTCTGTTATAATATCGCCTAACAATACCGACAACAAGAACCTCATATTCCATAAAGCACACATTACGTTTGGTCCATACAAAGTCATACATCTTTCAGCAGCATTCACTGTATGAAAGACTGTCTTTTATCTAATGGGCATCTGGTAAAGCCTCGCCATTTACCGAATGTTAAAGAAATCTATTACAGCACAGAAGTTTGTTCTATCTTGAAGAGTAAAAGTCCCAATCACTTTTATCGATTTGTTGTTCTACTTGTATAACGAAATGTCTTTTGTTAAACATATTTGTTGTTGGAATCAGTGTTTTTCCTACCCTAATTTTCATTTTAAATTGGCCTCAGTGATTATTTGCATGACAGTTTTTCTGTGAAAATGTACCTCTGACAATGTATTGATAAGCAGCAGGTGTATTTATGTTCGGGGGATAAAAATATACTATTGGCAGAGGGACGTTAAACAGATGTCAATTTCTTTAAAGAGTTTGTGAAATTGCATTACCAACAACGATTAATTACAAAATTCAACCTCTATATTTAAATAGTGTGTATATTAAGTTGTTGTTTTTTAAAAGTTTAAAAGATTACAGATGTCATGTATATAATTTCATCATGGTTAACTCTAATAAAACGCAGTCGCTACACTTGTTTATATTGAGTTTCTTCTCTGGTAGGGTCATCGTTCGTGAAGACAAAAGTGACAATGGTTATGGCCATCCGAGGCACGAGGAGACAAAGGGCTCTCAGTTAGTACTGCTATTGTAACAGCGTATACGTTGCCGACGCCGGCATTGTCACGTCATAAGCACAACGTGAGCGGCAATAGCCACCCAACCACTACGTCTACCACCAAGGCTTAACGATATGATTTATGATGAAGAGGGCACTGGGGAGGCGTCTGATAAATTTTACTTATTTCGCTCCCTGCTCGTTTATCGTTGTTTTGGTGTTTTCACTGTGTCGAGTTTCTCTATAGATAGGTTTATACATAAAACATGCCGTTATTTAGTCAGTGTAGTTATCCATTGTGCTTGCTTGGCGTGAAAGGTTGTTAAGATAGATACAGTTGTAATCTCCTGCACATGGGCATTTCAGATGAAAAACAACTTGGACCATTTGATGAATACTTTGTACAAAACGAGTACTGGAAAGGAATTCTACGTAGAAGCGTATCTTGAATTGGCATGATATACACAAATAAACAGTATGATTGAAACATTTCCACAATTTATCCAACGGTAAATCGATTGAAAATACCATATGTCAAAGTTGTTGAAAATATTTAGCAGTATTTGTGTTTCCCTTGTAACAAGAGGGTGTTGTCATCTTGTAAAGTAAACATATGAAACTAAGACATGTAACCATCTCAGTGTCTCAATCCATCCAACAAAGTGCAAATAAAAGCAAACCAAGCCGTCATAATTAATTGCTGGCCTCCGCAAACCCTTTCATCTTTCTTGCTCGTCAGGATACATTACAAATTGCGTCCACGAAAAACAATAGCCCCGGAAGATCAATGACAGAAAAAAACGAGCCTTAATTTCTCCATTGGGAAGAAACAGACGGTTTCTATCTGCCAAAATGTATTCTCGTAAAGCAAAGCTGAAGCGCACTGCGCTGAAACAACGCACTCAATAGCAAAAGACTGAGTACAGTATGCCTTTTGGGCGAATGCAAAGGTCATAAGCCATTATGGTAATAAATCGCCATAAAGTATTCAGAGGTATTGTATGCATGCCCTCAGTCATATATAAGAGGATGCTTGATGATAAACGTTTGTTGTTGTTGTAGCAACGAAGAGGAGAGAGAACCTAAATCACCGAAGCATCTCTCTAATACAAGAGTACCATGTGGTGATGGGGAACGTGTCGGTTTAGAGACTTGGCCTTATTACATTCATAATCAAGGCCAAACTATTGCCAGTCTGAGGTAAAGTGGATAAGAGACAACAGCTCAGAGAGAATACATTGTATTTGTATCCTAGCTATCATAAAGACTATCACGTATTTTTCAGTTCATGATAATATGTTTTTGCCCAACCGATGTTATTATACTTTATTCTATAAGAATAGATTTTTCTATCTTTCCGGTATCGAATTTATTAGTTGTTTTCAAGAATAATCCATTCCCCTTTTGTCGTGGAATAAGTACATGTTCGTAAAATACACTGTTTGCATTGCCCGGTTGTAGAAATGGCTTGGCACGAACCAACAGGTAACTGTTTTGTTGTTGTTGAGATAAAAAGAAACAACATACCTTTCTCCAGCGTTATCTGTCTCTCGTGATGACGTGCATTCTCTGCTGCGACCTTGAGAAGTCCTTGGATGTTGAGAAGGAGCGTTTCAATGGATGAGATCCCTGTCGCTTCTCCGTTCAACAGTTGAGGGGCGTGTCCATGCTGCCCACCCACCACCTTTTCTCCCACCTCTCCCGGGGCATGGAAAGAGTCGTTGATGTCAACACTGTCGTCCAAATCTGCAATTAACCAACGCTTGTTCGTTAAAACAGTTAAACACGTCGTATTAAATACGTATGTGCACGAGATTTGTGTGTTTGTTGCTGTTGAACGCCGCACTCAGCAATATTCCAGCTATATGACAGCAGTACAAAATCGAGTCTGGACCAGACAATCCAGTGACTGATATCATGAGCATCGATCCACGCAACTGGGACACGATGCCATCCATCAACCAAGTCAGCAAGTCTGACCAACCGATCCCGTTAGTCGCGGGACCTGCATCAATTCGGGATTTCCTCCCACATTAAGCTGACACGCCGCGATATAACTGGAATACTGTTAAAAGCGGCGTTAAACCCAACTCACTCACTCATACTTAGGGCCATGTGAGTCTAAGGAGCGGGTTCGATTACAACATAATTTTCAAACATATAGTGGTCATGTTCATTCAATATATATATTCTTACACAACAGGACCCCTGTAGTGATTCCGGGTTCGAGTTGGCCCCTAGACACCTATGCCGGTCCTAAGAGGCGGCTTAATTAATCGGGTGGTCAGGCAGTAATCGCATCAACAGCCTTCTCGACGTGAGGGCAGTGAGTAACGGTGTCCCGCTGAATGGGAGGATAATAAAATGTTTCCACAATCAGTGCGATTTGCAATGGCTATGCCCACTAAAACCAAGGGAGAAAACTCAGGACTAACCCGTTCATCGTCTTATCCAATTGATTGAGATTCCGTACAAAAAAAACGTAAACGGTATTATCACATCAAGTGAAGCAACTTAAATTTCAATAGATTACATGTGCAACATTATGAGAATGTGAAAACAGGGGCAGACCACTCGATATGTACCTTGAGTCTAGAAGTCGGCCATATGCAATGCAGCTTAACTGAAGCCATTTTATAAAGTGAAATGGCTGTTGAAGTAATCAAATATTATTGGAAAGAAGTGGCATTTTACAACCGGATAATCACTCATCCGACTCCAACAGAATTTATAAAGGTATTCAATCTGCACCCATTTGACATTTGTAATAACACGCCCGTTTCAGAAAAATATTTTAATCTATTTCAAATATACTTTAACTGATGTAAAATGTGCTAACACACCTCCTAATTTCAAAACATTTTCATAAACCAGTAGCGCGTATTCAAATTAAATGCATCCCTTGTTTTTGTATCAGTGGGAGAGAGCACCTGACGCTGTACTTTCTCCCGCATTAACTAACATGATTTCCAAAACATGATTTTCCCACAACCTCTCCTCCATAACTTGATCATGTGGAAAAGTCAGAAGAAAGATTATTTCATCTTTTCGGCATAATGAAACTTTAAAGACAGTCAAGATATGTAGAATTTGCCTGGCGTCTGAATGTTTACAAACTGCATGTGTCATATGCTAAAAAAACAGGGGCATCACACAGCGAAAATGCAAGAAACACGCAAAACGAAGAAATAACTGTAAGCATAATTGAACAGATCTTCAGAAAAATATTACAAGTTAAGGGACAAAATGAGAAAAAAGATGTTGCACGTGGCGAAATGAAATAACGTTTTAAAATGACTTTCAACTTGAGTCTCTCTATAATTACCCAGGGTATACAGGGAAACATGTACATTTTATTAGCGCCGCTAAAGGAAGACTAACACCGGACCAACAGGGTGAGCTGCCCCTCAGATTACTAGGCAAGTCGGAGTGGAATCCTCCATACTGCCCTGAGAGGAGTGTTCTAATTATGCATTCAGGGCCTGTATATTTCGTAATCGCGTCCGCTTCTGTCTGAGTTTATATGTTATGCCATGTTATTATAGTTGACCGCATATGACTATGGAATAGCAACTCTAAATATCGATACAAGTTATGAATAAGTTAAAAATATAATTACCACATAAATAAAAATAAATAAATAAATAAATAAATAAATAAATAAATAAATAAATAAATAAATAAATAGTTTTTACTTCATTAGATGGAACACTGTCGATTTGACAAAATCAGATCAATGCCCATCAAACGCTCATCTGCTCTCCGCAATAATGATTTTGGGAGCTATCTGTTCCTTCGTTAAAAAGATCGCCTTGGAAACAACTAGATTTTGCTAAAGTCCTTTTCATTTAATTCCTGAAAATAACTTAACAAAAATCGAATTACACTTGGCCTGTAATATAATTAGTGGCATGAATAATAAAGTGTTAGCATGTGCATTTGCATGTGCGTGTGCGTGTGCGTCTGTGTCGACTTGTTGCAGTGGGTCATTTTAAGAGGTAGTATGCATGTTAGTGTTTCTAGGACATAAGGCCAGTGTTGCACCCAGTTCTAAATATGCAATTACAAGCTTTAGGAAAACACTAACATCTGCACTCTTGAACTGTGTACCGTGTTTGCAACATGTCCCTCTGTTCTCTGTGAAAATACCACCCTCCCGCAGCTTGATCTGTCTGTTTCACTCCAGTTGCCTGTTCGTAATTACTTTTGAACTCAATGTGATTCTCAAAGAGAACGAAGAACTATATTATCTATTCCGCCACCAAACTGAGGCGGAGGGATTTCAAAGATTACTCCGCCATCTGTGTTACCCCTTATAGCAGGACAGATGTAGCTTAAATACTTTGCTTCCACCGAGGGCGCTTTTCATATCTTCATAAAAAATGTAATTTTCTTTTAGTTATGGAGTGCCGCATCTGAAACGACTTTGCCAACTTTTTTCAAATCCAGATGAAAGTTTTGCTGTTTGGACCATCTGCAAAGTGGGAGTAATTTCGTGGTTACGGCCATCTCGAGACGGACTTCACGTCTTTGAAAATTTCAAACGTAATCCATCAAACCGTTTCTATGTGCAATGTTGGCCGTCTCGCAGACGTAGAGGACTTTTGACACTGGTGGAAATAGGCTGGGGAAATATTCGACTTGCCAACTCGGAGAATTTATTGCCTGACGTAAAACGCCTGTGATATTTAAAAGATCGTGTGAATGACTTGCACGTGCTTTCCGTGTGAGGTGAGGCAGGGTGGGACACGCAGTGTGGTAGAGTTTATATAGCCTTATAATGGGGACGTTATGCACTCCTAACAGGGTGATCTTGCTTTGTACAGTAGCTTGCGCATGTCGGAACCCGCTTCAAATACCTAAAACAAAAGTTGTATGAAAGAGTTTGTATCGATTTTAAACATTGACTTCGGTGGAGCTGGTTCTTTCACAATTTTGATCACGAGGACATCGGTTTATCCGGCTGATTCTGATAAACGTGAATCGTCTGTATTAACGAGGTTATAGTATATAGGGGAAATACAAAACGACGATAAATACGTTAAAAGTAGCTGTGTTATTCAAATTTGCAAAGAATTGAGAGATCTCGAGCACACAATCTGAGATATACGTAACTTCGAGAAAACCGGGTTTGAGCTAATAGTCAAGTAATCTCCTTCACTTATTTTTATCAGCCGTATAAAAAAGATCATATTTCTCATTCCTTTGTATTAGGAATAGATCAAATAAGATATTAAAAAGATAAATAATACCATGTTGTTTAAATGATGCTAATTAGTAGTTCCGAGTTTTATCCAAATCTATTTTGGTTCTGCGGTAAAGGTCGATTTTTTCCATCCCTTCATCAAAGTGGCTGTATTCTTTTAACATGCCTCCCGTTCCCACCCACACTGACATAGCCACTGACCTTCCGTATAATTCATCCTTGATCATTGAGGGGGGCTGGCGTTATATTTTAGTTTGGGTAACGCAGCACCCCCCAAATGACTCAGTTCGACTGGTTCATGGCGTGTTAGTTGTACATGCGCTGAAGGCATCACGGTGCCCTTTCATCAGAATTTGTCATCTTTAATTCCTAGATTACTTTTCAGAAATTTCAAATAATTGCAAAAACATAATTTCCCTGCCTACATCGGCTAGAGCTGCGATTCGTATAATTAATACCATTCCAACACCCGTTTTTCCCATCCCTGTAGATATGTTTGTATCTACGAGACATATATTCCTGCGTTTCATCTTTCAATCAGAAACACATTTCTCTCATTAAGACCCTCCTTAAGATAGGTTTATACGGTAATCATAGATATGAAAATCAAATACACGACTGTTTCCAATAAGAAGTAATTGTCACTTTGTGCACAAGAAACCCATCAATGAATTAGCTTTACAGCTTACGCGGGGCTCTGTTCCAGGTTTCAAAAACTCAAAAAATATTTAAACGTACCCCCAGCAGCGAACGTTTACGTTAAAGATGACACGGTACAAAAGTACAAAAGATATTTGCTGTTGAATACTTTAATTTTGCTGTTGGTTTAAATTTATCGTTTACCGAAAACGATTTTGCAGAATGAGGTTAGACTACATATGTACATAGAAATGAAAACAACTTTTATCACGTGTTTCAAGTTTATTCTCTCATCAAATATAAAAATATATGGCCTGCATACATAGCAATATGCATAAACATTGCACGTATGTAAATATTGTTTATCTGACTATCATATCACAGTAAAAAAAGTTACGTTTCAGCAAAAAATGTAGAACATAAATCCCAACGTGTAGCTTACAAACTCTCCGAAGCGCCCATATAATCAAGCCTTACTTACATCACCTAAGGGTATATGCACCTTGCACTCGAGCAAGGAAAATTCATTTTCGTTCAAAGCTGAATAATAAAAACCTCTGGGAATTTTTCAAAATGTTAACATTTACATATCTAAAGAATTTCAGTGTTTAAAATTTCCCAATTTTAAATCATTTGACAGTTAACAGAAAACAGCGGTAGAAGATTATATCGTTTCGCAACAATAAGGCAGTTGAACACACAAGTGTTGATTGTCCATTTCAATATTGATTGACAGGTTTGATTGTCGCGGCTGGCGTCTCCATAAACCTGCGGCGTTACTGTCATGTGCCCTGCGTCAAACACCACAGCTTGACTAGTCAATCAGTGAAATTACCCTCCCTCCCCCCTCTCCCGGTGTTTCTCGCTCCCTCCCACCCACGTCCAAATCTTCACCCTCATG